CTCTTGTAGATAATAGATATTGTGTAGAACATTACGGATTATGTTAACACGGATTATATTAACATGGAAAAAACTACTATGATTGTTACATTCATATATTTTATAGCTGGAGAAAAAATTTATGTGATTGCAAGTTATATAGATATGGCATGAAAAGCTGTTAATGTTGCACCACCTATGTTACGTCCACCTATGCAGTTCTCACTGCCAGTTCTTACGTTACGTAACATTCAATTAGTATATTTTCATGTATATAGTTGTCTCAACCGAAAAAGTATTGTTGTCTTTCTGATGTGGTCTGCAGAACAAATATTAAGGCTGAGAGATCCACAGAGTTTGATTATTCCATACATCACTAAGAATGCCGATTAAACATACATGGACAGATAGCAAAAAGGGCCAGTAAACCATTTTTTCAGAGTATTACAGTTATTACGATCATTTGGTATGCATGGACGAAAGATAACATTAATATTTTATTACAAATATACGTCTGAATATGGTAGTATACTTAGGTGAGTGATACCCTTAATGTTTTCCTCGTGAAAAAATATACAAAAAACAGTAAGTAAATTATGACAGTTACCGTATCTGTATTGGATATTAATTATAAATGTAATGCTAAAAAAAGTCAATTATTTGAATGTTTCGTTTCATTGCACAAATTAATAGACTTAACTCTAAAGGTAAGAATTTAATTAAATTAAATTTAAATTTAATTAAATTAAATATGTTAAATTAAAAATTAAGTTTAATTTAATTAAAGAATTCTGTGACCTCTAACTTATTTAGGAAACAACATTCACAAATTTACACCAGGATACTGAAGGTTAAATAAAAATGTAAATTTTCCTTAATTAACTTTTTAATAAGCCATACGTTCTTTTTAAACAATATTCATATATCTAGATTGTCTACATAAGTGATATCTTATGTAAATTACGTGCCTATCTCTGATTGGGCATATAATGTGTCAAACTTACGATTTAAAAAAATCCAAAATACTCCTAATATTCTTTCTGGTCTTCATTTTCCATTACAATTAAGTAAAACATATGTTTATTTTCCAAATAATTTTACTGTTCAGTAAGAAAGTCAAAGTGTCTAAAATATATTTTAATTTTATGTTTTATCCCATAAAATACAATAATTAGTATAAAAATGGGATTAACTGTTTAATAACAAAAAAAATAGGATTGACTGATAAAAACTGATTGTATAAAAAATGTGATTGACTGATAAAAACTGATTGTTTGATAAAAAAAAGCGTACTTTATTGATTGAATTTTTACGGAACTTTATTGATTGAAATTTTACGTTTTATTCCATTGAATATAATAATTAGTATAAAAATTGACTGTTTTTGATAACAAAAAAGGGTATTAACTTTATTGATTGAAAAAAAAGTGCAACTATAATATTTCTATCCTTTTATTTTAGATAGGGAATCTATTTGGGACAAGAATTGAATTCCCCATTAGTAATATAGTGTGATAACGAATTCTGAGACAAATGTGGGCATTTTATTCAAAATTTATTTGTGTCTAGGAAAATCTTAGAACTAAAGAAATATTATTAGCTCCGACGAAAAGCAATTAGGATAATGAGAATCTTTAAGAACCAGGCGCAGGTATTATAAGATTATAACGAAATAAAAGAGAACCATAAAATCTCAAATAAAACAGAAAATTATGACGTCAAAATAACGAGAAAATGATCGAATCGTGATTGAAAAGTGAGTTTTTAAGTTATTTCCTCGCCATTTTGATATCATTTTGACTTTATCGTGACTTTATTCTGTCTAGGAAAGAGAATGCGTGGTCAAAATTTATAATTATTGGAAAAGTACAATATCAATCCAAACGTTCCGATCCTATCTTGAATCCTCTTCACTAATCGACATAAATAAAAACAAGCGGCTTGAATAATAGTTACATACGAGAAACAAATATTAAGTAACTTCAAATAGAACAAAGATTCGAGATATGTCGCAAGCAGATAACTCAGAGAAAGAGAGAGAGAGAGAGAGAGAGAGAGAGAGAGAGAGAGAGAGAGAGAGAGA